GGGGGGAGGCTGAGGTCCCAGCTGGGAGCAGGAGGGGGGATGGGGAAGCTGAGGCCAGCCACCTGGGACTGAGGCCGCCTGGGCGGCGGGGGTCGGGAGGCTGGGACTGGAGCCGGCGGCTGGCGTCAAGTCCCTGAGCCGCGCAGCGGGGTTGGGAGGAAAGCCGGCCTGAGCTTCTCCAGACACTGAGCTCTGGGTCCTCCAGAAGGCCGGGCTGAGAGGAGGGAAGGGAGACAGAGAGGGAAGGGGCGGGGGTTTGGATGCTGGAGTAAGGGGGTTGGGAGATTAAGGGTGGTCTCCGGTGCCAGAGTCCTTATTTGGTTGGGGCAGAGTTTCAAGGCTACAAGAATTCTACTAAGGAAGGTAGAGTCTCATGTCTTGATGACATTGTGTGTGTGTGGGGGGGGAGTGTTTAGGGGTCTCGAAGGTCATCGTTAAAAAGGACAGGGGTCGGGCACAGTGGCTCACGCCTGTCATCCTAGCACTTTGGGAGGCCAAGATGAAAGGATTACTTGAGGCCAGGAGTTTGAGGCCAGCCTGGGCAGTACAGTGAGACCTCGTCTCTACAAAAAATTTTTTAAAAAATTAGCACGTGCCTGTTGTCCCAGTTATTTGGGAGGCTGAGGCGGGAGGATCGCCTTAGCCCAGGAAGTCGAGGCTGCAGTGAGTGGTGATCGTGCTACTGCACTCCAGCCTGGGCGACAGTTATTCACGGGGATGCCCATTAACGGGGATTGTATTCAGGGATGTAGCTGCCTCTGGTTGCTGAGTAGGCTGAGGGTCTCCTGTTAAGTCCCCCAAATCATGGGATTGTGTGGCTTGGGGAAGGTTGAGAGTTCCGTGTCGAGTCCCCCAACTCATGGGATTGTGTCACATTGTGTCGCCCGAATCATGGGAGTGTGCTGCTTGGGGAAGGTTCTTGCAGAGGAGTGAGGGCATGAGGCTTGTGGCTAAGGATTTAGAGTCCTTGGGGTCTGGGTTGAGGCACTTCCTGGTTGGAAGGTCCAGGTTCCTGATGGGAATTTGGGAGGACTAGCCAGGGATCTCCTGTACGGAGGGTCCAGTGCTAGGAAATCTGGGTTCCATTGTGGGTGCTGAAGAAGGTGTGGGGTTGGAAGTCCTAGCATGGGAAACTGGGTTCCAAGACCTCTGGGAGGGAGCTTCGGGATCACATGATAGGAAATCCTGCTTTGAATTCCTGTTTGGGACTTTAGCCATCAGAGCACGATTTCCTAGTTTGAAGGACGAGGGTCCCTTGTTTGACTTGGGTGCTCTGGTGAGGGGGGTTTGGGGGGTCTCATGATTTTGGCATCCTGGTGTCTCTAGTCAAGATCTTGGCTCCAGGTCTCTGGGTCCCAACGTCCTGGGTCTCAGTGGCCTGTGAAGTTTTAACATTCTAGATGCAGGGACCTGCCTGTGTCTGGGAGGGTGGCATGAGGATTTTTGCATCTTTGATCTGGGTTGTGGGTTGTGATCGCAGATTAGGGTACCAAATTGAGGCCAAGGCAGGGTGGGTTCAGGGTTAGAAGGTGATGGGTCAAGTTTGCAGTGTTAGAGTTGGGTGTTAGGGCCAAGTCCAAGAGGCTAAACTTAGGCAGGGGCCACATCTTAGATTGGCCTGAAGTCAAGGGTCTGGGGCCAGGGTACAGGGTTGGGGATCCTTGGTTAGTGACCCACTTTGGAGACTTCTGGATGTAGTTCAGAGTCAGGGTACAAAGGAAAGATACCAGACCAGGGCATGGAGTTAAGATTGAGTGTTCATAGGCCGGGCGTGGTGATTCATGCTTGTCATCCCAACACCTTGGGAGGCAGAGGCAGAAATTGGAGACCAACCTGGGCAACATAGTGAGACCACATTTCTGGGAAAAAAAAAAAGGAAGAAAGAAAAAGGAGATGGAGTAGACTGGGTTAGAGTTTCTGAACAGGTCAGTGTGTACAGTGTGTACAATGTTCAAGTCCAAGACCATGGGTTCAGGGGTCTAGGTCCTGGCTCAGAGACAAGATTGTGGATTCTTGTTGGAGTCTGAGGTCCACATCTGGGGACTCTGATCAAGGCAGAATCAGGATTGTAGAATGCCAGGTTCCTGCAGCTAAAGTCAGTGATCTACTTAATAGTTTCTGAGTCACTGGCCCAGGCT